GAGGAGAGGGAGGGAGATGACCAGTACGGAGATGGACAGCTTCTTGGCCTTGTGAGGGAGTCTACTACTTCTGCTGGAGTTTGGCTTGCCTTTACGAGCATCCATCTTTGGAGAAGGTCTTGTGTCATCCAAGCCGGTGTGGGAAGCCCGGGGGGAGTCTTATACTACTTTGGAGGTGCAAAACAATCAAGCCAAGCACAATAGCCTGAGAAAAAGGGTGGTGGTTTAATGTTCTTGCCACTGTTTCCTTAATTATCAATGGATAATATTGTACAAAACATAATTTCTTTATCTTAATTTTCTATTAATATAATTTCATTTAAAAGTTTAAAACAGTAGATAAGACACTATCTATTGATTTATATTTTAATGAGACTTAATAAGTTCAAGTTCTACCATAAGCTCATCTTATGTCATTATATATATATATATATATATATATATATATATATATATATATATATATTAATGGTCCAGAAACGACCCTCCCAACTAACGTACCCCGCACGTACCTGCCCAATAACTCGAGACACTGATAACCACACATTAGGGATCCTACGTGGCATTCTCTAATACCAGAAGATGGGTTGATGGGTAACTGATATGACAGTAGTGAGGTGGGACCAAGTTCTTGACCACGTTAAATAGCAGTGTCTTCTGGGCGACCTCTCTCTCTCTCTTGAGAAAGACCGGGAAGGGGCGAGGAAGGAGCGGGCGACGAAGGTATCGCCGCTTTGGCTTCGATCGCCATGGGAGATCACAGCCAGCGTCGAAATTCGTCCTCGTTTTCTCGATGGTTGGGTTTGATTCTCTGATACTTGCATTGAATATCTGTACGATGCCCTAATCCTTTTTTCGCTCTTGCCGTTGATCGGTCGATTGTGGGATAAGAAATCGTTTTTGCCCCCACGTCGTCATGAGATATGGAACCCTCTTTCGTTTTCTCTTTCTGGTCTTCTTGGATCGGATTCTTGGATCGCTCGATTGTGAGATAAGAATAGTGGTTAGGTGTCTGCGGATTGGTTTTGCCCCACTTCGTCATGAGATATGGAGGCCTCTTTCGTTTTCTCTTTCTGGTCTTCTTAGATCGGGTTCTCGGATCGCTCGATTGTGAGATAAGAATCTTGATTGGGGTTTCTGTCGATTGATTTGCTTCATCTCGTCGTAAGATTGGAGTCTTCCCTCATTCTTATTCGGTGGTTGTAATTCCCTAAACATCCTTACGATGTCTTAATCATTTTGACTTTTCTCGTCATTTATGAGATAATAATCTTGATTAGGGTTCCGTCGATCGATTTGCCTGATTTCATCGTGACCGTCCTCTACTGTTTTCTATTGTTAGAATCCACAAGCACTGGGTGGTGAATGATGTTGCGGTGAATGCGGTCTGACATCGCTTCGCCACATTTTGGTATGTATAGATGTTTGCTTTATTCTTTTTTATGACTAGTAGAATTAAATTGTTTCGCGTACATACATGTGATAGGTCCTTTTAAGTTACGTTTCTTTCCTATAGGCACGTTAGCATTTTATCGAGTCATAAAGGGCAACATGATAGTGTGCCTTTTATTAGCTTAGATGTGCTAACTTAGATTGGCTAGGATAATATTTTAGCTTTTAGTGGTTATAACAATAATAATAAATACAAAATTATATATCTTAATTATTTGGGATCGATTATATGAATCTACAAAATTATGTAGATAACATATAGGTAAGCTGATGCATCTGAGTCATCATGATGACTTGGTGTAGTCTAAATCAAGGTACGTCGTACCGAAGCATACCGCCCGTATCGGGCGGTACGTACCGGTCCGACAGGTTACCGATATGTGAACCGTCCGGTACTGCTACAGTGCTATGGTACTATATTGTAGCACTGCTACAGTATGGGAAAAAAAAATAAAAAAATATTTGGTATACCAGGGTGTACCGCTCGGTACGCCCTGATGTACCGTCCGGTACCATATCGTACCGAGCTCGGGTCGAAACGTCGGTACGGTACGGTATAACGAATCTTGGTCTAAATAATTTGAAAGGACTAGAAAGAGCTTTAAACTATTCCTCATCTTGAAACAAACTCAAAGTTTGAGTTTTTGCCTGGTTTAGATCATAGATTGGCATTGTTCTATGATTTGAACTGATGGTCTAACCGAGAAATGAATCAACACTACGAAGCTTGACATCATACTTTACCTGCTATGTTTGATATGGGATCTCCAAATGTTCTCTCGATACTGAACATTCTGGTTTAGACTATATATTTTGTTAATTGAGATGTGTAATTTACATGTTAGGTTTAAATGTTTTATATTGATTATATAAGTAAGTCCAACAAACACCTTTATATTGGTTAATCGACCTATATTAACTCGATGAGTCTGAACCGGCGATCTAAAGTATCTATGCTCATGTTAGTGATAATGGATCCAGTCTAACCTTGTTAGTTAATTCTATTGTCCTCAAACCTTCAATGTGGAAAAAAGTTGGAGTTTCACTTAATTTTTATCCCTTTATAGCTCAAATTCAGGATGGACAATGTCCTTCTCAGTTTGTTCCAGATAAATGTATAACACTTGTTTTAATTAGTTCCTCAATATATTTTAGATGTTTTTAAACCTGTTCAAACCAAACTTTTAACGGTCGAACCGAATCAAATTATTATTTTTGATTCGATTTGATTATAAAGTAAGATAATTCAAATCGGAATCTATTTGAATCTATCTAATCAAATCGATTCGAAATCGATTAATTCAATTCGTTTGACTTGTTAATCAGTTTATAATTTTAAGTAATTAAAAAAATATTTTTTTTAAAAAAATAAATTAGTTTAATTTAGCTGGAATATCGGTCCAATTATACGACACTAATATTTATAAAATTAAACATATGATGTTTGTAAAATTAGGTATTTAGATTGATTTGATTATTGCGATTTGAGCCGATAAATGGTGGGGGCAAACCGCGTTGAACCTTTCTTCTCCCTGCGGCATCTTTCCCGTTTCCTCCGTCCCCTTACCCTGGTGGCAACCGCGTCGACTCTTCCTCCTCCACGCGTCCTTGCATTTTCCTTCTCCTTCCTTTATTGCGTTTTTTCGCTTGTTCACCCAAAGAACCAATCAAACCAAGGGAGGCGTTGTCTCGTGTCTAAAACCGTGTCTTTTGTTCCACTCACTGACCTTCTCCGAATCCACCTCCACTGCTCTCCTCTTTCCCTCACTCTCTCGTCGGCATTTATTACGAGTTATATGGTTACAGTTGTAGAGTATTAAGAAATAAAAGAGGAAAAGGTGTTGAGAGAGAGAGAGAGAGAGAGAGCCTATCTATCGTTCAGTGATTGAGATAAAAGAAGGGAGGGTGATCAAAGCGAGGGCGAGATGAACAACCTCTTTTCTTCCGCATCTTGGCGACAAGACGTGGAGTCCGGCGGCGGACGAGGCTCGGAATTGCAGATGGCGGCGGGCGGGGCGAACCTGGACAGTTTTTTCGAAGACGTGGAGACCCTCAAGAATGATCTGCGGGAGGTGGAGCGCCTGCACCGCAGCTTACACGAGGCAAACGAGGAGGGGAAGTCCCTGCACGAGGCGTCGGCGGTGCGCGCCCTTCGCGCCCGCATGGACGCCGACGTTGCCCTCGCCCTCAAGAAGGCCAAGTTCATCAAGCTCCGACTCGAGTCCCTGGACCGCGCCAACGCCGCCAACCGCGCCGTCCCCGGCTGCGGGCCCGGCACCACCACCGACCGCACCCGCACCTCTGTCGTCGCCGGCCTTCGCAAGAAGCTCCGCGACTCGATGGACGTCTTCGCGGAGCTCCGTTCCAAGGTCGCCTCCGACTACCGAGAGACGGTGGAGCGGCGCTACTACACGGTCACGGGGGATGTGCCGGACGAGGCGACGGTGGACGAGCTGGTGGCGACGGGGGAGGGGGAGCGGTTCTTGCAGCGGGCCATCGAGGAGCAGGGCCGGGGCCGGGTGCTGGACGTGGTGGCTGAGATCCGGGAGTGGCACGGGGCAGTGGCGGAGCTGGAGCGCAGCCTGCTGGAGCTGCAGCAGGTGTTCATGGACATGGCGGTGTTGGTGGAGGCGCAGGGGCAGCAGCTGGACGACATCGAGAGCAACGTCGGCCGCGCCCAGTCCTTCGTCCGCCACGGCACCGAGCAGCTCGGCGCCGCCCGCCAGCACCAGAAGAGCACCCGCAAGTGGACCTGCATCGCCATCATCATCATCCTCATCATCATTCTTATCATCGTCCTCTCCATCGTCCTAACCCACACCAACAAATCGTCCTCATCATCGGCCTCCCCACCGTCCTAACCCTCATATCTTCTCAATCATACTAGTACTTCTATTTTTGTGATGCTGTTCTTTGTTTTGTTTTCTTTTTCGGACGAAATGGATCACTCGTCACTGGGTGATTTCTTTCTCTTTCTTCCCCTGCTTTTCGTGGATGACTTTCCTTTGCATCTTCCTTTCTAATGGCGCAGGTATCAATTATTATTTGCCAACCCATCCAATGATGATTTCTGCTGGCAGTTCTGCCGACATGACATGTCTCATCGGGTTAGCTTTCCCCTCAAACACGTCGGAGGTGGGATGGACAGGTCTCATCACTTCTTAATCATAGGTGACCACCTGAATGAAACGTTTCACATGAAAACACATACGTAGACCCCCTAAAAAAAAAAAAAGACACCAAAATAAGACACCAAAATCTTTATTGAATTCGTACCGTCAAAATAAATCGGTCTATCAAATCCGGATTCCTAACTAATCCCAACGAGATTATTACGCGTATCAGTTTAACACAACGAACACATGGAAATCCAGAACATTCAATAACACCTTTTCCCACACAAGGAATCGTATGCATGTCTTCTGTAAAGGATCAAATCATGACATTTCACTCTCAGTGGAGGTGAGACACATTAACATGGGAGATGAGAAACTAGCGCAGAATTTAATAGAGACGAATTATCCGGAGATTAGAGGTGTGTACCTCAGTAGAGCTCAAATCTCCTGCGGATTCAACTGATATTAATCTCCTACAATAAGACTCGGATGACCATAATGTTTGCTCAGAATAAATTTGAATTCGCCAGGTACCAGACCCACCACCAACAAAAATACAAGTGCTGCAAGTAGAGATAGCGCTATGATACAGGACTACACATGGATCTTAGAACTCGTGTGGCTGTTACCAAAACTATTTTTGTGTCCCTCAAACAAAACTGAATGCACCAAAGAATACATACATACCAGAGAGAACCTATCAATAATTCCAATGGTGAATAGAAAACCAACGTACACACACACCTATCCGGCAGCTACATATACACAGGTGAACCTTGCAAGGAACTGAGGCAGCTTCGGACTGGTTTCATCCAGGTGCAGTGAACCAGCCACATGATACGTGTTGGGTTATGTATCAGTTGCTCATCCACAGATGCCAGCTTTTTCTTTGCAACTTCAACGTGTAGCTCTTGTGCTGACCTCTTATAGACCTTTACAGCAGTGATCGATGTCGCTTCAAACTAGCAAAAATGGTTCCTTGTGTTTGAAATGGGCCAGTCACATATCCCAGTAAAGCCTCAGACCAGACAGAGAATATGATTGACTGCGGCATCTCTCAGATGATTGCTATATCCAGGCAAGAGAACCTCGATCATTTGATGATTGAGGTCGGCCCCGGGTTGGTGTCGGGGGCCTGTTGGCATTGAGTTCCTGATGCAACAAAAGAAGCAGTCCAAGGATCAAAAAACCGAGGAGCCAGTAGAAAAAAAAACATCAAGAACACGGGGAATGCATCATCGAGAACTAGATTTGTAGAAGGAACAGTGAAATACCTGCATCCATGTATCTTCGGTGTGATGCTCTGGCGACGCATCAGGTGAACTAATGGCAGGGGGTAAAGGATGAATGAGTTTTGGGACAACCACAAGGTCTCTTCCTAAAACCAAAATTGCCCCTGCATTGTTTGCAGTCCCTATACCCACACAGACCATTTAGAAAAATTAGGGGCAACAACCTAAAATCAGAAGCCAAGCATGTTAAAAACACATTCATACCACAATAATTGGTTGCGGAGAAAAGAGTAATCAAATGTCCCTGAGCAAAACGCTCAAAACCATCCATCACACACTCATGTGCTCGTACTATCAACTGGAGGTCATTGTTATTGCAGAACTCCATAACACGATCAGGCTGCAGCAACACTTGAGATTGATATCACCGTGCACATCAACAAACACACAAAAGTAAAGGCTAAGATTCTAACCCCAAAAGTGACGAGGCCTGGACCCCTAGCATTTGGTCGAAGCCCCTCAACGCTATCATTTTCAGTAGGATCAGACCTAAATTATTAGGAAACTAACAACTGCATTAGTTACTGATAAACTAAATTGTATATCGGACAAAAAGCTACTTGTAGAACACAGACCACAGAAGATCCATAAGAACTATCGAGCCTGCTTCCATTGTGATTGGACGCTGAAGGTTCTCAATCTGCTCCACATGATTTATGGACCGACCTATCCCACCATGCATGCAGATAATTTTCTTTTCAATCAATGCGGCTAAAGGCAGCCAATTAAAAAGTCGGTTAAAGCGATGCCAGGTCCAGATCCCATCTCGCTCTCCCTGTTTCCAGATAATGAAAGTGGTGAATAGAAAGAAATAGCTCAAATACTTGCAAACAACAAATAAGTACCATTCGCTCGATGCACTCAATCCGGAAGCCAAATAAAGCATTGATATCTGCTGCCTCATGATTTCCACGGATTAAATGTACATTATGAGGATGCTCAACCTGCCATACAAAATAAAAAAGATCAATATTTACTTTAACAAGTAATTATCTTCTTAAATCATAGTTGCAGAAAGACTAAATCCAACACTAGATGCATGAGACCATCCCTATAATACCTTCAATGCAAGAAGAAGAGAAATTGTCTCTAAGCTATGCTGACCACGATCAACATAGTCTCCCAAGAAGAGGTAATCGATATAACTGAAAGACATAAAAGAGAATCAGCATTGCATGAAGGACAAAATTCACCTAAACACAATTAAAAAATACATCCTAACAAAGAAATTGCAGTCCATGTTCTGAAAATTATACAATGGGAAGCAAGCAGCTCAGAATATGCAACCAAAAGTACAATAAGTATATTAAACAAGGTTGGAATAGAGTATTGAGTCTGTTTATACAGCAAATCAGAAGCAAAAACAAAAAGCAGTTAAAATTTATGCTAACTCGAAGAAGCTGGAATCTAAGTTAATACATATCACTTTGACAAATCAAGTCACAATTCATGCATATAAACAAGATACTCACGCTACGTCCCCTGCTGTTGAAGGAGCTCCATACTCATCAAATAACCGCATGAGATCTCCAAACTGACCATGTAAATCACCAAAGATCTTGACAGGAGCTTTTATTTGTAGAACACTTGGCTCCCCAGTAAATATTCTTTCGGCACTGTCACACAGATCTGCAATTTCATTGCAATCTAAGAAAAACTGTCTCTGTACAGGGGGCTTCCAACCACGTGGCTTCAAAAGATGTGCTATAACCTGGATCAGTGTTACATATATCCAGGAATAAGATGAGGTCACTTTATGCAAGATGCATAGGCAGATACATATATAAGCACACATTTGATATACTAGCTCCGATGCTCAATTCTTGAGTTTCTATTGCAGGTTGATTTTTTTAACTAATAGTGCTAGAAGAAATTTTAATCATTTCAAATTTGCTATTGTCAGTATCTTAAATATAAGCAACCAAGATTATATAAACAAGTAAAAAGCATCATATTTCCCATGAATCAAGCCAAAGATGCAACTCTAAAGTGCATGAAACTTATAAATATAGCTTGTTTTTAGTTTTTTACTTTATAAAAATAAAGTCTACCTTTTTGGGCACAGTATTAATAGACATTTGTCTATCTAACAACTTCCTAGCTGCAGTAGCACTCTCAGGAGTACCATAACTGACCCTCCTGCCTTCATTTTCAAACTGATCGATTGAAAGCTGTCTGACCATACCACCCAACGCACCTCCTGTCTCTGCAGCTACCACCACCTGCATGGTGCACATGTTGAATTTCAAGGTCAAAGAAATATTTGTGTCATCATTTTTTTCTGACAGCTAATGTGAGAATATAGTGCCAAAAGATAATATGTTGATTGGTATGATAAAAAAAGGCTATAACCAACATGTTGACGTACTACACTAACCGCTCTATGGTGAAGCCGAACCCCTGCTGGTGGTGTATTATTTGCAAAAGGATCTGGCACCTTATCCATGCTTGAGATTGGCTTCCCACTTGGTGTGGCTTCTGAACCACGATCTCTATCGGGCAATTGTTCAACTTCACCATTAATTTGTCGTGCCTTCGCAGCAGCTAAAGTAGCACTAATTGCCTCAGCCTCTGCTGCTGAGGCTTCGACTAAATACTCAACACCTTTGCTCGGTCTCCTGCAGCAAAATCAGCCATAAGCAACATATTCTACAAAATTCTAGGCAATCTAACCTAAGAACTTGAATGACAAAAAATTAGCAATTTGTAGCTAACATCAGAAATTTGTGTAAGAAATTATAGGAAAAAAACGAAAAACAACACGAATATTTAGTGATAACTAGTAGAATACCTTGATCCCTGCAGCAATGCGTTTTCAGTGCTTATGTCAGTGTACATATCCCCATTTACTGGAGGAGCAACAGGAGTTCCCACCATGATTTCACCATCAGGAACTGTTTCAGGAATATCTTGCCTTGATCTTTCATCAGAATATGTGTATCTTCCAGGCATTCTTCCAGATTGTACATTAAGAGAAGCAGCTGCTGCTGCAGCATGAGAAGCGGCACTTGTTGTTTCAGCAGCAGCCAGATCTTCAGCAGCAAGTAAATCATCAAGAAGCACACCTGCAGCAAAACCACAATCTAGTTAAGAACTAAAACATGTGACAGTTCACACAGATCTCGAACAAACATCACCATCGAAAAACTCCATTTGTTGTGCATATTCCAAGATAACAAAACAGATATACATATATGAGCAAAACACGGCAATGAGTTAAGACATTCAAAGGATTGTTTTCCTTCTCTAGTAATGCTTGGTCAAAATCATTTTGAACAAAAATGGCACCCTAATTAAGCAATTAAAAAAAAAAGAAAATGTACCCGATGACAAATGGTGCTTTTTACTGACACTATCAGCTTAATCTAAGTCAACATTAAATGATTCCACTCAGACCAGACATTCTCTCCTGCTTGTGATTGATTGGATGTGGTGATATACAACAAATATTGTGGCTAATATCTCCAAACTGCGGTTGCAATTTTTTGGCACAACCTAAATACTATCAACAGTGTATGGGGTTATTTAATTCACTGTTCATAAATCTGTTCAACTTTAGGTGCCAAAAATTTTGAAACAAAGGAACAAACGGTAGATCATTATAGTTAAAAGTTAAAACACAATGTTAGGCAACGACTATTGTTTCACATCACAAGGAGTTATACGTAATGGTAGGCAAATTTGTCACTGCTGTTGAGGGGAATTTGTCATATCTTCCTGGCACTGCATGATCACTGTCCCGGTCAGCATATGTCACATATTGGCTTATCAATATGTTGGGTTGACACCTCTGGCATATGTCACAATGGTGCATGCAGGTGTCATTCTGGTACAATATGTTCCAATCCATTACAATATGTTGATTGGCATGCAAGAAAATAGTTAAAAAACAATGATATTTTGTTATGTAAGGAATAATCCAGCTACAGACACAATCCATCTAAAGCCAAACCCATTGCTACATTCTATTCTTTTGTAAAACTAATCTCTCTTCAAGAAGCGGAGTATAATATTTCACTCAACATAATGAATTTCATCTAACCATACAATTATGTCTGAGACATACCTATTCTAAAGTTCTTGCTCCAAAGACCAACAACAGATTTATCAGTTTATGGTTCTATCAAAGAGTATAAACTATAAAGAGACTGGTGGTTTTCAAAGATTGTAATTAAGTGGTCATGCTAGCATAATATTACTTATTCTTCTTTGCTTGGACTTTTTTCCCATAATCTTAATTTTATGATAGTGCATATACATTGTAAAGAATTATGATAATGAAAAATAAAAATGAATCAATGACAGGCCACAGATCCAAGAGAATTGCACCACATCCATGTCAGTTATCAGCACAATCAAATATCAAGAACTTTTTCTGCACTGTTCAGCTGTTTTATTTAGACAACATTTGCAATTCAAAATTAATATTCTAATTAGATAGGTGACTTTCCAGTAAACATTTTAAAGCTCAAACCATTGCTAATTGATATGCATGGGCCTACACAAACCATGAACACGTAAGACAATAAGATTCTGTGTATGATATCCCACAGTATTTATGCCTACCTTCTCAGCTATAGATAATAAATTTTTTGAACAAAAGTGTATTTGTACAGCATGATAACAGGACAATGATATTCATGAAAAACAAATCAACAAACCTATTTATAAAGGTTCAAAAATTTATCGTGAGCAGATCAATATCGACATGCTAGTACAAAGTAATAAAATTTGGTCAAATCTTAAAAGATTAGTTAGGGTAGATTATTTCAGGATGCATGAAATATTGACAATGAGCATATTTCACTTTTTAAAACAAATCCTGAACAAACCTACAGATAAAAATGAAATATTGATGAAAATGGTTATAAATCTCTCACTGAGTAAATAAATTGTCAGCCGATAAAAAGCCCAAGAATAATGCATGCCTGCTAAGAATCAAAATGATGGCATTTTCTTTTAAGGAAAAATGGGCATACATAACCCTCCAAAGTTGTTCACTTTCATATTTATCCCTCCAAATATGAGTTTAGCAAATGCATCCTTGCAAAACTCAAAAAAATTGTATAACATCTTTAAGTAAATCTTCTTCAGCTGACTGTCGTTTAATGGTTGGATAAAGCTCTAATATTAATACCCTATTTCTTGATTGTTATAAGACAGGAACATTAAGTGTATTATAGTTCTATTATATTTTTATGTATTCAATAACAACAACAAAAAATCATAAATTATAATTATTTGAGGTCGGCTACATAGATCTTTTGCCACCATTGAGATACGTAAGACACCATATGTTTCATTAAATTCAGAATACTTACATCCTTATTTATAGTTTCTATTAAAAATTTTTAGGTCTTCCTCTACCTCTCCTCGTACATTTTTATATACTCTCATTAACTAAAATTAGCTATTGATCGCTACATTTGGTAGTAGTTAAGCTGGGTTTTATGGATGTATATCAATGTGAGAGATACATGTGGAGAATATTACTATTTGAAAGAGTTTATATAGTAAAATTTGTATGAACAAATATGCTATTTCCAAAATTTGCACAAACAGATATGTCAAAACTCAAAAGCCCTTACTCAGAAACATTTTCATGACATAAAGATAATCTAGAGAGGTGAAATTTTGATAACTCATGCCCCTTCTCTTTCCTCCTTTTTTTTCCTTTAAAAGAAGGATGAAAACCAATACTCTTTAGAACAGATAAATAAGTTTGATTGTTACCTCCACGTAACCCTCCATAAATAAAGATCAAATCTCCAACTGCAGCGGCTGCATGCCTACAACGCCGTGTGAGCTCAACAGATGCATCACCACCAGCTGCATCTGCACTATATCTACCTGTCCTGGGACTAGTGACAACAGACTTTGTATCACACCAAACTCCAGCAGCAGTATCCAACACTAACCCAAACAAAGCACAGAGAAGAACTTAAGAAACCAAGATAACTGTTATATATGTAATTTGTGGAAAAATGCTTAAAGAAACATTGTAATCATGCAACAAGAAATTAATAGCCAAAATAACACATCAACATTATCAATGCAAGAACCAATTTTCTTTATTTCAATGAACAGTTACATGCAGCAACCATGGGCAACCATGTGGACTCCATTCCACGGCTTGCTTCAGAAAACATTGTTTGCAAAGAATGAAACAAAGGATATGAACAACTAAGCCAACATATACTTCAGCTGCAGGAAAAGAAGTTGTTATAGAACATAAACAGTATTCTGGAAGAAGTAAAGAGAACATTGATGAAATTATTATGCACTAGGGCATTGTGTAATTCACATGTTTGCATTCAACTGGGACTAAAGAGAACATTTGATAAAAACAAAAAATCTTTTAAATGCATGTGGACAATGGCATTATATACTTCATATTTGTGAATTCAACTGGGACTAAAACATTCATACTATCATCAAACTCAAAATTATAATTTTACTTCTATGTTCAACATAGTTTTCCTCAATTGAGTATCTGAAGGACAAAGCATGACTTGATCTAATCTAAGCCTACTACTAGTGCTCATTGAAGCCTTTCAATATCGATATCACTTACTATGAAGAAAAACATTGACTCAAACAAGCTCCATGGAAATCTTCAGCAGAATTTGGAAAGTGGATGACGACAGTGATGTTAGTACTCTAAAATAGCAAAACCAACACGGCTTTTGTTTCAGGGATTGAGCACTTGAATCAGAACAAAAGTGGACAATTCTGATTTCTAAAGTTTGATGCCAATCTTGGACTTCGATTCCTACTCTTTGAGTGAATCCAATCTCTATTTGAGGGGTGTCAAAATCCTATTAATGTTATAGTGTTTCAATTCTCAATCCCAATTTGAAGAAAGATATTTTATGTAACAAGAATATCTTTCTTTATGTATTAGATCTCAATAATTTAAATATTTGTGAAATTTGTGCATATATGAAGTCAATTTTCTTATAGCTACATATCTTCATGAAAAAATAATATAGATATAATGATTCATAAACTAGATGGATTTAAATTCCAAATTCAGAATCACAAACCAAACATGTCAAGGGAATTGACCATTCCATTTTAAAATATATAAATCCGATTTTGGTTCCAGTTCTGACAATGAACCAGATACCAGATAATTATTAGCAAATTAAGGCATTTCATCTGTAAGGTCACTAACAGCTACATCTGCTTTAGAAGTAGCTGCTCCTAAGAAACACTTTTTAAACAACTTCACCCAGTCAATAACTTGATTACAACAAGGACTGACAAGACACATATCAGGCCCCTCTAAATACCAGTACCATACAATGAGTCCTCAAGCTTGGTATGAATTTTGGTCCTACCAATGTGATAAACCAATAAAATATAACTTTTATTTTTTGGTAATAATGACTCTGAATGACAATCAATCATCTATGACACCAATCACAAAAAAAAGGTCTCATTGATGATATCTATCTTGACCATACATATCATATGGGACTGTAATATAGTAATATCTCAACAAAAACAATATATGATCATTTAACAAGTTAGCAATGTAACAAACAGTCATAAAAAAAAAAAAACAATACATGATAGACCCATGATTCGAACATAATCTATAAATCAAGCAAGTATTTAAACATGGATCAATATGGTACAAATCAACTGGTTAATATCTGTCCAACAAAGGACCAGTATTGGACCATATGGTCTGAGAGGTTATTATTAATTTTTTTCGGTTGGTACTAGTCAGGGTCTGTATATCAGCTGGAATCACTAGTATCATACTGACGTTCAGTAGATTAAGATATAGAAGAGCACCAAAGCACCTCCGTCTCTAATATAAATATGTCGATAAGCAACCTTAGCATAATTCCTCTATTAATTATACTTTCTTCTTAGAATTGTTAGTTGCTTGTTATCTTGTTCACAATAAATCCTAAATTATTGCATCTAATTTATTAAAAGAAAATAGAACACTGCTTTAATAATTTTGTGTCCAGACCTTCACTTCCTTTAATTTACATGTTCTTCTCATGGTCACTAATATTGCTTGAGATTTTGTTCAAGGACTCGAAGTCCTAAAGTATTGTGTATAATTTATAAAAAGACGAAAAAAAATACTATAAAAGAATTTGCCACTACTTTGCTGAGTCCATCTCATTTCACAAGTTTTGGTGGTTTTTTTTCAGATTTCCCTTAGTCTTCAAAATACTTTCCCGGTAAGAAAATTAAGATCATATACATTTTGACGTATAATTAATCAAATATTTATAATGCAATCTTTATAGCTACAAAAGTTCAGCCATATTTCATTATTCATGTTAGATGAAAACTATAATAAATATGTTGCAAATGTCAAGCTTCAACCTTGATGTACTCTGACAAAACAATCATATTTTGTACTTCGACATTTTAGCCTAACTTGAATGAATATTATGGTTGTACCAGTTCCAGTTGACAATTTCAGCTCAATTAACAAAGGAAACAAGAATTTTCCTCCAACATTAACATAAGGGATAATTCATTCTGGATAAATGTTCCTGGTTTATAATAACACCAATCTTCCAGACCTATTTTCAATTTCCTAACCCTGCCAATTTCAAATTTTTGTTTCTCTAGTAACCAAAATATGCACAAGTATTCACTCAGACAGCATCATTAAAGAACAAAACCATCAGTTGCACAATGAATCCTGGATACAAGTATTTCACAATTTGGTGTCCACCTACAGAAATGATAAGTCAGTGGATAGATAACATCAGCACCTTTTTCCAATCATATTTAGACATCCAATAAGTACAAAGCTTTAAAGGAATGATTTAAAACCAGTCAGTATGCTTCTAACTAAATGAGTTAATATTATCACAAGGATTCATGAAAGAAATCGGTCCACCTAAACGCCTCCATTTGAATGAGTGCAACTTACCTGCAATGCTTGAAGAGTCATCTACCATCCGTCCACCACCAAGGGCCCCTCCAGACACATGAAGTCTTGCATTAACAAAAACCTAAAAAAACAATGCTTCTGAACATAAATATCTAGTGTTGTAATAATAAGCAATAAGAATGGAAAACAGTTGCAAAAAGAAATGAGAATCTCACAGCTGCATGCTGGTATCTTGGAGACGGAGAGACACCAGGAGCCATAGCCCATTCCCAACGCCCATCCCTGTGTTTTGCAAGACCATATGCACTTGATAAAGGCTACAGAATCAACACAATGTTCACTAATCAGCTCACCACAGTAACAGTTAATGAAATCGCAGACAAATAATTACAAGAGATCCTACATGGTCATCATGTCTTCATAAGACAAGTATCACTTAGGAATATCATCAGTTTATATGCTTAACATAAAGTACATAACCAAACTTTATCCATGCTCATCATCCGAGGTTTCAAGAACAAGTAATCAGGGAAGCAGGACCAAATCCCAAAAAGAAAACCTAAAAAGTTAAAAAGTATGCTAATACTATAACTGAGATTATGTTGGGTCCACCAAAGCCAGGTCAATCATGAGCCATGACCAGTCCAAACTGATCACGAGATCATACCATATCCCTCCTATCTGTGCAAAGATTCTCACTGATGTATTTTACTTTTTGTGATGAAAGACCCTAATTACTAGTAAGCCACATATCCAACATACATACATTTAGACATATGAAGCTTTGTTAATACATTCATTGATATATATATATATATGAATTTTGTGAAGGTCTTATTCCTTTGTCATATGTTGGATAAATTTATGCAGACTTGTAACTCATACATTTTGTTGACTTTATAATGCTCTTTAGCTTATCCTATTTTTGTATCATGGGTTTGTTAAGATTATTGACCTAATTAGTGCCTAGGATGGAGCATACAGTTAAATATATTTGGTACAGACTGCTAGAATCATCCTTGGTGCTAAAAAGCATGCTGTTAAATATATTTGGTACGGACTGCTAGAACCATCCTTGATGCTAAAATATGCATTTTTGAGTCATGTGATTAATGTTCAGTTCATAAACTAATATGCTGAAAATAGTGTAGCTAATTTCTCACTGAGATCTGAATGTTACAACAAAATTCTCATGCCTATGTAGCCAATATTCCTATGGAGTGACATAAAACATACAAACTTAGGATGAAAGAGAATATTTCCAAGACAGGACCGGTAACTTTTAAAACTTGAAAAGTTAAATTTGCTTGGATTAGCAAGGCAAGTGGATGGTGATAGAGATTAGTCATCTTATGAATTGATGTGAAATGAACAGTAATTACAAATATATAGAACATGAAAACATAAAAGATAAATGGTATAAGTTTTTTAGGGTAGCAAAATCATAAATAGAGAAACAAAGTTGAAAATGATTTTGGAGCTGATAAGAACTTAGTGCCTCATAAACATCTTAACGACCAATGTGATTTCATCTTGGGAACTTTGGGCACTGATCCCTCAAAAATTGGGAATTTTGATGGGCATATCCCATTTATCCTTCAAAATCACCACTTTACTACATATCCCTCAAACCCTAAAACCTAACAAATATGACCCCGTTGTTTGGCTTTGTCACCAAAGTTCATCCAAAACATAACTAAATAGAATCAGGACAAGTTTAACTGGAACAATATTATGATAAAATAAAGAAGACAAAGATGCCCTTAAATTTAACATGTTTTAATTTGACATACGGAGTTCTGTTAGCTTTTGTTATATGTAAAAAGAAGATTTCAAAAGAGTCGTCACAGTCTTCAAACTCGATCGATCGATCCCTTTTGAATGGAGAAACTACGATCTAGCTGATATAACATCATCAGTGAGAATGGATGAAACTGTTCAGAATTGACCAGAAAATTCAAAATTTCTAATTCCATGAAAGAATTGCACAATTCCAATTTCCATCTGATTCAGCTGTTATCACCAACAAGCTGATGTTCTAGCAGCCAAATCAAGATTTCCTTATGCTAGTGGGCTCGACCTCATTCCAATCTATCGCATTGGTGAAGTGAAGCAGCAGGAGCAACTCTCAACATCTGATTCAGCTGTTCTCACCGATAAGCTGATGTTCTACCAGCCAAATCAAGATTTCTTTATGCTAGTGGACTCAACCTCGTGCCAATCTATCACATTGGTGAAGTGAAGCAGCAGGAGCAACTCTCAACATTTGACCCTATGTTGTCATTATTGATTGGATGTAATAACCAGTGATTTAAAAAGGCGTTCGGGCGAGGCGAGGTAAGGCCCGAGCGCCTCGCTAAACTTCCAGGCGGCGCGCTTCAAAGAGGCGCCGCCTGGGCGCTCGCCCGAGCCCAGGCGCTGGGCGCTTCAGGCGAGCGCCTGGGTTAAACCAGGCGACCGAACCAGGATTTTAGGTCTGGTTCAGTCTCCGGTGGTTAGTTGGTTCAATCGAACCAACTAAAACCGATATCAGCTGTCGCTGCCCAACCCTAACCCTGCTCGTTGCCGCTGCCGCTCCCGCTCTCGCTGCTCGCCGCTGTCGCTACTCGCAACCGCTGCCGCCGCTCCCGCTGCCGCTACCTCCTTACACTCCCGCTCCCGCTGCCGCTGCCGCTGCCTCCTTACATTCCCACTACCGCTGCCTCCTTACACTCCCGCTGCCGATGCCTCCTTACACTCCCGCTGCCGCTTCCTCTTTTCTCAGTCAGCACCCCCTTACACTCTTCCTTCTTCTCCTTCTGTATACTGTTAATATTGTTAGGTTTATTTGAAATTATTAATTTTCAATACTGTTAATAGATTAATAATATATTATTTTGATTTTAATACTGTTAATTATTATTAATTATATTATATATTTTTATATTTTAGCGCCTCGCTTCGCTCGGGCGAGCGCCTAGTGCCTCGAGCGTTTTTGGACCTTAGCGCCTTTTTGCGCCTAGCACTTTTTAAATCAATGGTAATAACTTACATTATTTATATCCCCTCAGTTAACTATTAAGTGTATTTACCATTACAAGGTATAATATTTAGTGTTTGATTTTGTGGTTTAGTATGTGACCAATAAACTTGTTGATCATAATGATTTATGATTTAATTTCACCTCTTGTCTAATGCTTAATTTCTTATTTGTTGCCTAGTACTGAATGCTACATACCCATCCCACTGCAAACTTTTTGGTATTAGACATTGTTTTTTATTTAATGATATTTATTATGTTTTATGGGCAAGATATGTATTATGCGTTAGAAAATTGATATCATGTAAAATACTATATAAATATATATATATATATATAAACCTTTTAATGTGTTTATCTTCTATATTTATATTTTTTAAATTTTTATTATAAAATTGAACTGTTTTCTAGGCCTTTTCCAATCTTGTTGATCCAATCCAATTGATTCCATCGCATCACCATTATCAGGCCCTGATCCTGAATCAAATCTTGTGAACTATCATCAAATTTTCCCAAGTCTCAAACTGCTGTCTGCTGGAACCCTACCTTCCAAAAGCAATATGAACCAGACCTATATGCTTTACGCGATGGTAGTTCCTTTGACGACCGTGATGGATACCACAACTTCTTAGCTGATGCTTAGAGGCGAGATTGCATCAGCCACCTTTGGCCAATGCTTCCCCCACAACTCCTTAGCTGATGCTTGTTTTCTTGAAGAGCAACATTTATTAGTGTGCCCAAAAGGATCCTTCAAGTTTCAATATTTTGGTAACTAAATACAACAGGAAAAGCTTGTATTTGGTGTCTGTCCCAAATACAACACCTCACAAAATAGTATGACAATCAATTTTCACCAATTATGCATATGCAGATGCATGTACAACACGCGAAAAAACTCAACTATCAGAACTTTTGACTCTTTTAGAAGTATAAAAAGGCATTCATCCTAGGAAGAGATGCAGTCATGCAAACACATCCAAGAAACAAAAGTCCATGTGACCATAAAACTACTTATCACTACACCACAAGTCCACGTGCTTCACATGGCACTTTCTATCTAGAACATAGGCCCTCCAACAGGAAAATAGGGACATACTTGGCACTTGAGAAAAAAAACAAATTAATTAGCAACCTTGCACCCTTTAAGCAGATTATTTGGCCCTAATCCATCCAACTAAAGACTTTGCACTTCAACAAAAAAAAAACCACAAATTTCCTCCTACTGATTGTCTTACATGTCATCCGAGTACAACTATCAACAATAAAAAAAAAAGAAATATTTTACTCACCACGCTGTTAGCATCCCTCCCTCCGCATAGCAGAAGAAGACCATCAGAGCGTGCACTTGCAGTTGCATACCTAAACAAAAGCAAGTGGTAAAATTTAACATTAATGATTGAGAAGGTATTACATTTTTTTAATTGCAAAGCACACAGTTGAACATCTTAAATACAAAGACAAAAATCAATGTAAAAGATTTTAACATCTTAAATAGAAACAGAATGTAGGAAGATACAGACCACAAACTCCACATGAAAATGGACATGAAGTATCTGAAATAGTCACATGCCTTTTGGGGGGAAAAAAGACAAAAAAAACTTGTCTGAAATACAGTCCATGACTCTTAACCTGGTTTTAGGTTCAATCAATTAGAATCATTCTTTCAATTGCGACTTGTTAATAGATTTAATATCAAAATAAAAAGTTCTTATTCGACTACTGAAACAGGTGTTACTAAGAACTTCCATCACTTATCAATTTCAATAGAACTTATATTGGTTCCTCCTCCAGGGGAAAAATCAGCCAGTCTAACAACTAGCTTTCATGGACTTAGCTTATTCTAAAAGGCTCACTAAATTCATCATGCATCAGAACTTGAAATGTGTCTATCAATGAGTTTATTTCAGCCACAGTATACTTGTACGGGATTGTATATGACGTTGATTTAACCATATACACAAATATATTTTCTGAATAGGACAACGTGTTGAACAATGATGTTTCTTGTTTTGTGGACTGAATTGTATCTTTTTATTTGTGTTATTATGATTATGTAAATCATAATCAAAATGAAACACAGATGAGACCAACAAAAAGCCACAAAAACAAAGTTTAGTAAGCTCGCCGAAATTTTGTGAATGCTCGCATCAAACTTGCTGAGCATGCGGACTATGGCAAAACACCTTTCCATCGTATTTGTCATGTTCCAGCACCTTCTGGGCATAAAAGACCAACTTGCCATCTAGAACATCCTCAGCTTGCAAAACCCATGCTTTCCATGACTGGATCATAATTATTATCATACAAACCAATCCTTATAGTTCTTACAGTTTCTTTTCATTATGAAACACTGAAAATTTGTGTAGTTGACAGATAGGCAAAAATAATAATACGCTGGAAACATATTCACAATTATGTAAGGATGACTCTAAAGAAGCAATGTTTACATGTTGCATCAAGTGTTTTTGGATGCACAAGAGTGCTAACACTAGAGGCAATGCCGAAAGATGCAATGAATACCACATTATCCCTGTAACAGTATAACAAGAACCTCATTGGTCAAATCAAACTCTCAATTACTTACATGCATGGTGGTGGGCCTTCACCTTCTGGTTCCAATTTTCTCCATTCATAGGGTTTGGCAGCAGTGTCTAGGGCCCAAACATCAGCTAAAGGTCGCTTACCTGACAAAATTTACTCTTTTTCTCATAAACCTCATCTGTGAAAACATAGAATGCAAAAAACATATACTGTTCTGGAACATGTCAGATTTTATCTGCACAAACCTACCATCATTACCACCAATAGCCAGAAGAAATCTTTGCCCAACCAAAGCCATCACATGACCATAACGTGGTCCAGGGCCGGGTCCTTGGACAACAACTCTATATCATAAATGTTATAGATCAGTTTTGACAACTACAAGGCGAACATGTTGCTCAAGATGAATGCTTAGATTTGATCATAACCTATGCCACCGTGGCCTCTGTTGTGTCAAGTCCAGAACATGAAGATCCTCAGCCGACAAACCAGCAGGGCCGATTCCACCCTGATTATAAACCCAAAATACAAATTGTCTCTAGAAGCTAGCCTTTATATGGTTTCCAATAAATTAAAGAAAGAAAGAAAGAATTCTTATGCAACTGCGTCTTATGTGAACAACCCTCTGGGTGAGCTATGTGACTATAATATCATATTTTAAAGTATAACTATCAAAAATATTTACTTTAGGGCTACCTGAATTACCACCATAGTTCCCACAGCAGTAGCAACATGTGCAGCCCTGGGCGATGGTGGTTCTCCAAGGGGCATCAACCTGATACCAATCAATGCCACAGGCACAACTACAATAATAAGAGATTGCTCCAACATGACCAAAGGGATAATTCATTAAATAACTATACACAATGTTGCTCTCATAAGATTGTTAATTTGCTCAGATGAAGCAACATCCAGTATAAATTCATGAAATCAGGAGCCCATGTTGTGAGTTTATCAACAGATTTACCTTGTCCATCTGTTTGAGAGCACATCATAACAATGAACATCAGCAGTTGCACCTGCGAGACCTGCAATTAAAGAATGAAAAATGTTACCCGCTAAAACAAAAAAATGCAATTCCAAGCCTGTATATATATGGCCCACCATGCGCTAAATCCATTAACATACACGAAAACCTATGATAATTAACTCCCTTTCCCCAACCTGATGAATACATAGGAAAACTTCCACAAATTTCAAGAAAGTTTCAAATCTGTAAATCTAACTATCAGAGGACTAAAATTGCTTACGATGAAGGCCCCCTTAGAACAAAAGACTTAAAAGATTCAATCGAATATAGCGAGAAACTTGTACTGCTAAAAAGGGTCAAGAAATCAAGAAAGAGTGAATACGGATTCCAGCACTCCCTGCCGGAGATGGTGGTGCTGCCGAATTGCCCTCTAACGCCGTCGCACCACCAAACAGTATAAGCCGCGGGCCGATGAACCCCGGCGTTCCCTCCTCCCCGACTGCCGGGACGGCCGTGAGCGTGTGCCCGCATCGGCACCCAGCCCCGTCCTCCTTCTTCTCGATGATCGAATTCACCACCCTATACGTCGGAGCAGGCCTCGGCCCAACCAAGACGGGCTGACCCTGCCCGACCGCCGGCGTCGGCGGCGACGAGGGCTCACCGGAGCCATCAAGGTGGTTCTCCGCGGCCGGATCGTGGTCGGGATCCGTCGACATCGAGGCATCCACCTCCATCGCGGCAGCTACCCTCGCCGGCCGGAGTCAAAACCAAGAAAGATGGGGTTCCCTAAATCTCCGGTACGATGCGACTGCTCCCCCGGCACGCCGCCACCTCTGCGGCTATTGCGCTGCCCGATTCGCTCGACGAGGGTTTCGAGATCACCACATCGGCCACCCCCGGCCCCCAAATGACCCCGAATCCCCCGCCCGTGTCGAATCGAGACCAAGAAGATGATGGGGAAAGGAAGGGCTGAAGGATCTCCTTTCCCCTCTTCGGATTCCTTCTGTCGTCGCCTCCCTCTCCCCCGATCGATCGCCCTCCCGAAAAGCAAACGGAAGCTTGGACCCAAAAATAAAATAAAAAATGGAAAAGACAAATGGATCCGGTATTAAACTAGAAAAGGGCGACCCCAAAGAGAGAGAGAGAGGGGAACACCGCGAAAGAATCTCTCGCTCTAAATCAGCTTTGCAAGTCCACCCGTCGAACCTACGTGCCTGGTTATTTGTAAGATCACAAATGGGACCCACTTTACACCGTATCTCCAAGGAAGGTAAGGTTCCGGGTACGAAGAACGAGTCGATGATTGCTTCGTTTTTTATATGATTTAGTTTACCTGTACTGATCCATCTCGCTCTCGTTGGGCATCGATTCCAATCCATCGCCTCCTCTTTCTGTTTCGAGGAAGCGGGTGAGGAATAAAGAGCGCCCTGTTTGGCGGACGGGGAGCGGTCCGATGGAGCGACCTCGACCGTCGGATCGGTGAGCCCCGAGGGCGCGAGCCACCGGAAGAGCCGGTGCGAGCGGGCAGCCAGCGCGGAAATTAAAGCGGTTGTTGTGGCCCACCCGTGACGTGATGGACACCGCACACTGTTATTTGGAGCTTTTGTATGCATATATTGGAGGAGACAAGTCAATGGGGTATGATGTATTGTCAAGGCATATGCAGACTTCGAGCGAGGAATCACATTTTTATGATGGTAAGTGTTGAATTCTACCGAGGAATCAGAAAAGTGTGATCGGAGTCAAACACATCATTCATGGGATGGAGAGGTTGACATTTCCACGGCGGAATCCAGCGAACACACATCTTCATATCAAAAATACAAAGTAGAATGTCCGTTTCCATCTCCTTATGATGTATCTATTCTTGTGCTGTGGTGGATAAAATGTTTGTGAGTGAGAGGGTTGAAATAGATAGATCATAAATGTAATCCGACATGGTTTAATATCAAAAAATTAATTGACATATAATTAATGATTATATGAAAGTCCTACGGTATCATAATGTTACCGTACTGCAGGTTTAATATCTATTCTCTATCTTCTCGATCACCTTTCATGATCATGCTCTTTTTTCATGAGAGTAAGAAATTAATGATTATATGAAAGTCCTACGGTATCATAATGTTACCATGCTCATAGCCCTATTATCCATCGCCTCGTATATGTATCTTTTTCTTTATGATTAGTAGGTCTGCATCTATGACCCTATGATACTCATTTAAATCAACATCCATCCTAACTGATTCTTAGTTTTAGGTAGTTAAGTCCAACTCATCATCGTTTTTTCACCCCTATTATTTATTGCCTCACATATGTACCCCTTTCTTTATAATTAGTAGGTCAACATCTATGACACTATGGTACTTATTTGAGTCAACATCCATCCTAATTTATTCTTGGTTTTATGTAGTTAAGTCCATATAGACTCATCGCTTTTTCACTCTTTTCTACCATATATTTTAATACCTATATGTTCTCCAATAGTTTCCTTTAATCGAAAAAAAGATATACCGTAACTCTTATGCATGGATTTTGTCATCATGTTATAGAGCTCACATCAATTTTATTCTCCTTTGTGTCTTTGCTATCAACATTTGCTTGCTTGGCCTTGTCCTTCGACTTGTCGAACTCCCTTAAGTGAATATGAGCTCTAAAGCAGTTCAACTCTTCAACTGCTCCAGTCATACCTATGTATAATCAAGTTTATCCTATAAGATTCATTAGTACTTGCACTTCAAATTTTTCCTCAGTAGTACATAACCCATATATGTTGATGACTAAGACTTTTATTTATATAACATTTGATACATGCACGAGAGATATGTCTCTACGATACCATGACATTTACTTCTTGAATATATAACCTTTTTTATTATCATGTTATTTTTCAAAATGGAGTTACTAGTAGCTCTCAATCATATCTTCGCATGATCAAGTCCCTTACGAGACTTCTTTCATATGTATTGCATTATTTCGAATTGTTCCACCATAATCCATTGTACTATGTCATTTCTGATTATCTCCATTACACTATTGTCTTTTGTGGGATGAAATCAGATTATGATCTCTTCATGTATGGCCTCTACTAGCACATTATAGGGCCTTTATCATCTCTAATTGTATTCGATCTTTTGGCAATCAATTATCGTCTGCTCGCTCTTGGGACATACACGAACGAACCATAGCTCTAGGATAGTCCGACACCTAGTAACTCTTGAAGTCCACTGACCTTGCTAAAATTAGTGTGTCATTATTTTGATCCACGACCCTTAACCCGAGCATAATTTTCATTATGCATAACTTCTTTTGTAGTAACTTGAATGGTAGCATTATGACACATTTATCAAGAGTACCCAACTTTGTGTCATCTTACCTCATGATAAAGTCTTATGACTCCAACTTCATCTATATAAGTTTGTCACCTGAGTCCCTTTATCAATTGTTTATAAGTGATGATGTATATGTGTCTCAAAGCTCCCTTTGACTTTAGCATCATATAAGAAGAGTTCGCTCCATCAGAACGAAGGACCTATGGAATAGGATCGAGGGTCCAACGAGGGCCATACAACCTCCTCGCACCCCCTCTTCGCTATTGGCCAAGGCAAAGAAGAAGAGGGGTAGCTCGCTCTCATGGCTAGCAATGACGATAGAGGTCATGAGTTGATGAGCGATAATGATAAGACAATCAAACACGAGATGAAAGGGGGTAAAATGACCATGTTTATGCAACCAAGGGTTGATGCCGATAGAGGTGCGATAAGGTAAAATGACCATGTTTATGCAACCAAATGAGAAATTAAGAAAGTTAGAGTTTTTTAATTATCATATATATATATATATATATATATATATATATATATACTTGTCAAAATTTGTCATTCTGAGCGGCGAATTTATATATACGCTTAACCACCACAAGAGCTGAGAAAGTCCGTAACCCATCATCGCATCCCTCGCGGCTTCCATTGTTTGCTGATTCTTCCTCAACTTCGAGTCGAACATCACCATGTCTTCGACAGTCCGAATGATAGGCAAGTGCTCGTCGCCACTCTCCCTTCTATCTCACTCGATCGATCCTTTTCCTCCAATTTCTACTAACGCGTTTCTGTTCCTGCCTTCCCGATCGACCGACATCCAACACAGACATCGCCGTCAACTTCACAGGTTCACCTCCCATCATCAGCGCAATAAAGGTCGTACCTTTTGTTCCTTCATCCTAAACCTTGTTGAGTGCCCTGCAGATTACATGTTCAAGGGGATCTACAATGGCCGGCAGTGCCATGCCGCCGACATCCCCGCCGTACTTGCTCGGGCGTGGAGCGCCGGCGTCGACCGTATCATCGTAACTACTGTTTCTGCTGCTTTGGCTCCTCATATGTATGTATATATGCCTCATTTGACTTTTGGGTATAGGTCACAGGAGGTTCTCTTCAGGAATCCAAGGAAGCCCTTGCCATCGCAGAAACCGATGGTTGGTTCAGTGTCACCTGCTCTGACTCCGGCGGTATTTAGTTCAGCTATGTGCTTGCTCATTAGGTGTTTGATGTAATGTTCATAATGTCCAGGACGGCTCTTCTGCACGGTTGGGGTTCATCCTACTAGGTGCAAGGTGGCCAATCTGCTTCACTGCATCAGTAGAAGAGTTACCAACTGTTGGTGATATTTTTTTGGATCTTTGATTGAGTGACCAGGTATTTTGTTACTCAGGAATTTGAAGAGAGTGGGGATCCAGAGCAACATTTCCAGGCGCTTGTGTCATTAGCTCGGGAGGGAATTCAGAAAGGGAAGGTAGGCCTCAAAATAACATGACATTGTTAGTGGCAGGACATATTTCTGTTATATCTTTTGCTGTCTCTGTTATGAATTTAATTGTTATGAAATGAGATGCTGTTAAATAGCAATCTGACTGCTTGCTCTCCTTGTATATTCTCTATATGTTCCTCTTGTTTACAATGTTTAGATAGGTCAATTCAGAAAAGTTATAGGATACTTGGCAACATAGTTGCTCCATGGCAGGAGAAGACATTGTAGACCAGCACTGAGTTATGACCTTTTAAAAGCATATTTTGTTGCTGTTTCACTGGTTGTAGATATCTAGTAGGAGGATAGGAAACATCATCTTCTTTCTCCCAATGAAATGGATAAAATGCTTATATTACTCAGCTGAACTTCAACACTTGACAATACATGATATGTCACAGAAACTGTTTGCTACTAGTTTTTGGATTATCAATGTCGCACCATTATCCTACAGTTATATGTCAATCTTAAAATAAACCCGTTTTTCTATTTGTTTCTGAAGACTTAACTGTATCTAGGTGGTGGCAATTGGAGAATGTGGACTGGACTATGACCGGCTTCAGTTTTGCCCTGCTGATATACAAAAGAAGTATGCTGAAAATTTAATGGACCATTTTGCAGATTTACTTGTGAAATACATATAACAAGCACTGAAGAAGACATGCATATGTTCATTTACATATTTTAGTTCACATTTCTGTGATCTTTAACATCTACAACAAAGTTATGGATGCCATGTCTCTATCACAGAAGTTTATGCTATGAAATGATCGAAATGTGGGATATAACTGCTTTAGTTTCAGGTAGATTTGATATTCAAGTCTCTGGTAACCACAAAAGTGGGCATCCGATAACAGTCCAATGCGAAATAGATTGTTGAATTTGAGCCTATAATATGTGTTCACTTTTGCGCTTAATTACTAATTGATATGCTCGAAGGTGTCTAAATTAAAATCATTCTCTCTCTCTCTCTCTCTCTCTCTCTCCCTCTCTCTCTCTCTCTGCAGTTTGCAGGCATGTTTATGCCTCCATTTTGCCAAAAGACCATGTATGGATAGGACACATGCAATACAGACATATACCACAGATAGTTACATATACAAGCATTCTCAATCATTGATGTACAATGTTTGCAAGATAGATGCTTATTGCATCTTCACTTTTGTACGCTAGTAATGCGTCGAATGTTTCCAACTAGGTACTTCGAGAAGCAATTCGAACTGGCAGAAGCTGTCAAACTGCCTATGTTTCTGCATATGCGTGCTGCTGCTGAAGACTTCTGTGACATTCTCGCTCAGAATAAGGAAAGGTTGCTTAAACTGCAAATTGATTATCTTAAGTTTGTATCTTTTATATTTATTTTTACTTTTTATTTATCTGCACATAGTCGTTGTAACTTCAAGTAAATGACTAAATCAGGTCAGACAATTTTTAGTTATATAAAAGTTTAAACAGGACTGACAAGAATGTGTCAATGAACCCTTTGCAATCCATGTGATTAGGGTTGAAATAATGGAAATAGTTTCTTTGCTTGCAAGGGTAAGATGGGGTATGTTCTCTCCCTAGGCCCCATATAGGCAGGAACCTTCTCTTTTCACTAGAAAAAAAAAAAAAAACTAATGAGGCATAGTCCTTAATAAATTGTTTAACATTTAATGATAAAAAAATGTTAAATGAAACATTTACACAAAAATAGAATATTCTAATAACAAAAAAGAACAAGACAAAAAGCAGAGTGTAGAAAATGGGGAAAACAAAAGAGCAATGAAAAGAAAGATCTGTGCAGTTCATGCTAAATTGAGTAGTTACATGTTTTAATGCTTAATTATTTATATTTCTGTAATATACGGTGAAAGAAGGATATAAAAACTCACTCAATTGTTTGATCCCTTTTAATAACTTTGCCATCTTAGGCACTCTAGTGATTGAGATGGCCGTACATGGTTATATCTGTTTGCTTGACAGGTTCATTTCTGGGGTTGCTCATTCGTTTACTGGAAGTGCAGAAGATCGTGACAGGCTCTTGTCATTTGAAAATCTTTTTATAGGTGACGATTCTATCTACCACTACAATGAGTCTGAGTTTTAGCACTGTTACATACTTCAACATGTCTGTAGAGGCCATCTAATAACCCATTGGTTCTATTTTGAAAATTTTCTTCTCTCATTGATCTTTTAAAGGCAGTAGATCTGACTTTACTCTTTTAGTAGCCTCCTAGCTCTATATTCATACACATTGCATGATCGTCTGATATGTTTAAATTTCATGTTTTGTAGTTTAAAGGTGTCCTTTCTCATTACTTATATTTGCATATTTTGTAGCTAAGTATTTTCTTATCTTGGACATGATTTGGATTAAGGTCAAAAGTTAGTCTCAAATATAATCATGTTTTTCGTAAGCGATAAGTTCCTTTATCTGTTCTTGCTGTTGATCATAGGCATTAATGGCTGCTCTCTGAAGACACATGACAATCTTGATGTTTTAAGGAGCATTCCTGTTGAGAGGATGATGATAGAGACAGACTCACCGTACTGTGAAATCAGGACTACTCATGCTGGAAGGCAATTTGTTAAATCAGATTGGCCGTCTAAGAAAAAAGAAAAGTATGATGATGACTCTACAGTAAAAGGTCGCAATGAGCCTTGTTTTGTTAGGTAATTGAGATTTACTTTATTTTGTTATGCCATCATTTAATTTCTTTTAACGGTTCTCATAAGGCCATGAATTCAGTTTAATGATCTGATTTTTAGTGACGCTTTCTAATTTTTAAGACATATCTAAATCCTTTATTAGTTACAGAACATGTAGTGCTGACATTGTCTTAATCTAAATCCCTTCTGAACTGTGGAACATTATAATCTGTCTTTCTTAGTGTTTTTTTACTTGTAGAACAGAAGTTCCTACAATTTTTCCAACAGAGATGCCTATGATGTCGTGGCTTGATGTCTCAGAAGATCTATACTAGCTTGCTAGATTTTGCACTTTAATTCTGGCTAATCGATCATATTCAATCATGGCATGAGAGTCCCACCTGTGTTCAATTGTTTGCCTGATATGCTACTCCCAGAGACATCCCTTTATTCATCACTTAACTGGAGTCCTTGATGCTACCCACCAGAAATTTCATGATCCTCGTGGGAAATTGAGTCTGTCTTGAATCTTCTTACTGCAATTTTAGTGTCGGTTATTTAGAGGCATGTTCTGGTAAGACTTATAAGTTGAGGTCTCAAACATACATTTCTTGGAGAGAAAAAGGTTAACCTAATACTTGAGAATAAAACACAGAGATCAAGTAGTTTTATAGGAAATTGAAAATCAATTAGTTAAACTCATTATGGTGGAACCTTGGTCATTTTTGCTTAGTTGACCTTTGGGATACCTGTCTTCCAAGCCATTTGTAGTTTCAGTTTCTTTTTATGCAAATCAGGAAAGTCATAGTCTGTTTGAACCGTCATATTGTAGCTAGTATATTCTTCAGCGGGTGCTAATTATCGTATTGAAAGAACTATGCTATAAGTATGGCATCATGTCTTTGGTATGAACTTTCTTCTCGATTATTTGAGCACCTGATATAAAAATAATGAATCTTTGCTTGCCAGGCAAGTCCTTGAAGTTGTAGCTGGCTCTAAAGGCATTGGTGATTTAGAGCACCTGGGCAAAATTTTGTACCACAACACATGCAGGTAATTTTTATTATTGAGAATGTCTCAAGCTGACCTTAAATCTAAAGAAAAATTCTACCAGAGCAAAGAGAAAGAACTACACAATACAATATGTTTTGAGGTCTTCCATTACTGCTATTCCTTGTAAAGATCACATTCTTTTTTTATCTCGCGCTAATTATCTGAAAGTTCAGAGGTTTTACCCAGTTCTTGTAAAATTATCATGTTAGGCCAATCTTTTTGCTATCTAGGGTTCATGTGCTCTGTTGAGTCAGATGTTTGTCCGAGTGTTTTGTGCTAGCCGTAAAGGATAATGTTCATACAGTTTAATTTAAACTCTATTAATGGAGTACCAAATTTTCCTACCAAATTATTAATCAGTGTTTGGTCGATCGGTTACAAATTGGACTTCAGAAATTCCTTTGTAAATCTGACTTCATTTGCACCATGCTCTTTCTTCTTTCTAGGAAAAGAATAATACTTCTCTAAGGTTCTATTCTTTACTGTGCTTGTTTCTTGTAGGGTCTTCTTCCCCAATGATTTGGATACAGCAGCAGATGCTTTTCTTGAAAGCGGCCATAATGTCCAGTGACAAACAACCGGAAGTGCTTCATTGACAGAGGACTGGTGCATCTAACATTGCCCGGCAGCAACCGCCTAGGCATCCATTTCTTTTGAGAATGAACAACATGATAATTTTCCTTCTCTTCGGATGCTTATCGCTCCGGGTGATGGTATTTCTTTTCTACGGCACCCATGGAATGAGTTAAAAGGTCTTGCCGCTACTTTTTGTAATTCTAAGACACATGTTTTCTGATTAGATATGTAATTTTGTTGCTAAAACTTGCATACATTTCTTATATGTAAGCTGTCTTAATTATTGAAATATGCAAGATTATATTAGCATATCCGGAGTTTGACCGGTGTTAGTGTAAACAACTTTTTAGCCGTGACCTCGGGCCGACGCGGTTTGGTTCGGGTCCGGATGACGGGTCGCCGGTTCCTTCGCGAGGGGGTTCCTTGCCAACGCGCCCGGAGAGAAGCGCCTCACCTTCGTTCATGCACACAGGTCGGGACGGGAGAACTCAACCCAACCCCTCCGACGATCAAGTCAGTCAGCAATCGTAGTGGGGTTGTTTTCCCTCTTTCTCCTCCTCCTTTTTCGTTAAGAATGCAAGGGTATTTATAAGGGGGGTTCGATGTTACTTGATGCGCCTGCCCGCACGGGGTAAGATCGTACTTTCTGATGACGTCTGACATTGCTATCGGCATAACGTGTGGAACCGAACCTGAGCGATCGTTAATGGGCCTCGATTGGCGTTTTGACCCGTGTCAGTCATGCGATGTCGGACTAACAGGGGAGCGAGACGTCAACGAGTGTCATGCAAGTCTTATCGTAATTATTACCCTCATCAACCAGCAACCAAATATTCATATATTTAACAAAAACAAATCAGATGATAATTTTCTTTTAATTATACCATCTAGGATGATGTTGATGGATGATCTTTAAATTATACCATTTGAGCTTTAATCAATCTTAGAACATATTAAAATATCTCATATCATATCCATTTAGTTTCCTACAAAGAACCCAAACCGAAACCTAACTAACTGTCTTGGTTTGGGGGAACACAATCTGAGTACCTATTTTTCTATGTAAATCCATTCTAAACCCGATAAAAGCTTATCCAAACCCGGTTTAAATGGATGCAATATGACCAATATCATTACCGTTTAACAACCATCCGCTGACTACCTATCCAAATCCAAAACTCACCATCTACTTAGACACTAAATCATTCTATCCAAACTCAATCTAAACCCGACTAAAGAATACCTTAACACCCGAACAAGGTTGTCGTTAATTCAATATGGTCCCCCATCAACCGGTGTGGTAGTGATGACCTGCCTCTATAACCACACACAAACGCGTCTTCCTCCGCCTTATCGGTCACTCCGCAACCACCACCATGAAAACACTTCTTGGTGCTGGGTGGTCTCCCAGGCTCCCTTCCTGCCCTCTTCGACTCCTACAACCATCTAAAGCACCGGTTTCGCTCCCTCGATGTCAAGGAGACTCGCGGAACGAGACGAGCGGCGGGAAGAGCGATCTGAGCATCGGCTCTCCCATCGTCGTCGTTGAGGCCCCGCCGACGCTCAAGACAGCCACTGCCATGTCTTCGCTTCGGATCAACGCCGGGCTGGTCAAGCAGGGCGACGTCGGCAGGTAGGAGGAGTTAGTCTCAAAGTTTTATCCTGTAAATAAGCTACTCGACGATGCAAAAGTAGTGGCAGAAGTTAATCTCTGCGTTATGGATGTAAAAGTAGCACAAAATAATGAGCCAAAGCATAGTTATGTGCAATTTAAGAGATGGAAATACAAGGAAAGAGAACATAGCATCAAATTCGTAGACATCCACCAAAATTTAATGAAGCTCAGAGCAGTTTATTTGGCTACTTTATGCAATGTAAAATTGTCGATTTCAGCTCGCATCTGCGTGAAAAAGTACATCTGGAAATAAACAAGTTACTTCTTCTTACTTGTACCGCAGAATCATAGCGAGGAAGCCGAAAGACGTATGGGCGGTCCGCCTGGCGATCGGAACTTATCTCATAGATGGAAAGTATTTCAAGCCATTAGATGTCGATGAATGAGATCCACATCTGTATTCCACGAAATGTTATCAGAGTATTGAATGCATTTGCAAATTTCATATGCTCTTTATAGTCTGTTCTCATGATCAGATTTAAAGCATGTAATTTTAACAAGAGCACCGCAGATCAAAACATCATAAAGCCAATTGCAACTTTGGTGGACAGAACAGATTGGTGATCACGAAAGTTACCAGTTGCTGATACCCAATGGCATCACAGAGAGGGAAGAGAAGAGAGAGAAGTAACCCCAGTGGTAGCAGCATCTTGCCGTTTTCCTCGTAGTACATGCGTTGTTCGGTTTGCACTCCTATCCTCCACTGCCAATGGAAGGGCCTTCAAGAGACGGTGAGCCGAACAAGACTCTCGATGATGCGGGAATTGGGAGGATCTCAATGTGTAGTGACCGGACGTCACCGTGCTTTTGACATTACGTTGATTAAGCTAAATCCGATCATAATTCTCTCGATAAAAAGGTTTCACAACGTCGGATTCTGCTTGTTTTTCCATCGAATCGGAGTTTAGATTTCTCGATTTGCTCGCATGCTCTCGGCACACTCCTCGAAGATCAAGACTGCCATGAGCAGAACTATTCCGACGTCCCTGTTCTTCCCTGGAATCTTAATTTAGCTTTCTCAAAGTTTCTAGCATCGCACTCCTCCGTTCGTCAAAGACGAAGACTTCTACCCATTTGGCATTGCTCAGCACAAAGCCGCCGACCTCTTCCAAGACCGTCAATCACTACAAGAATGTCTCTCATACAGATCGCATCCACCTATCTTATCAGTTCCCCGCTCGTATCCTCTTCGAATCCCCAATCTTCCTCACCCTCAAATCTCTCGACAACGAAAAGAAGAGATCCATAAATCGTCACCAGAAAACACACACAATCAAAAGAAGAGATCAATTACCATGAGAAGGTCATTCATCTTCGACGGAGGAGCTCCAGACGAATCGGGCGATCTACCGGACAAGAAACCCCAACTCGGAACCAAGGATCGGATTTGAAACCAACCGACGGGGTTAAATCTTAACCATACCAATGGCGGGAGATTAAACGAGGGTTTCGAATTGAAATCAAATGCGCGCCAACGTGAGAGTGGCACCCAACCACACACATGCTGTGGACACACTGCTCCTCAAAGACCTAATGCTTTTTGTTATTACATCAATTTTGATACATGGAAATTTGAATCAAAATCAAAATGCAATTTTAAATTTTAAACCCTATCGAACTCTCAGGATTTTTCATGTAATACTAATTAATGATATATCTAAACAACTTGTGTGGAAAAGGGTAGCTTTTTTTTTATTTTAAATGAACAAATTAAAGATTTGAAACTTATCAATTATGATATTTCAAAATTCACTTATAAAAAATAAAGCAAATATCTAAACACAATAAACACACAACCATAGATATCTTTAATAATTAAATATGATCGATAACCCATCAGAATTACCGGTATGAACCAGAGGCCAATTGGAGAGAAAACTCAAACATGCTGTGCATAACAACAGCTTATATTTTTTTTTAAGATGGTGAAGTTATGAAATTGTTACAACATTACTGAAGTAAATGGAGGAATTAAAACTTTAACATGGATAATGCAATTCTCCAGCTGTTTTATTTACTTGTCACCTGGATCCAGTTGTTACAAAACCCATATATGTTAATAAGCATGCACCAGTGCAATCTAAAACCAAAATACAAAAATACTTGCAGGCAGCAGAATTGATAAAAATGAGGATAGATTGTGAAGGAAAAGAAGTTACAGCATCTGTACAGCCACATTTACAAGTCTACCTAGAAAGAAGGAAGAACATAAAAGCTCTTACTGATCACAATGGTTAATGGTGAGGTTTCACCAGTTTGACACTACTGTAGAAGCGCTTAAGGTCCTTCATTGCCCTCTCTTCAATCTGGATCGAGCGGATGGATGATGGAGCATCAGTCTCAGGCTTGAACCAGCGGTTTGGAACCGAGTCCTTAGGGCCACCAGCCTCCGAAGGTGAGCCTATTGAAGATACTGAGAAGCCTGATATTTTGGTTTTAGGGCTGTGTGAGATGTTCACCTGTCTTTTCTCCTGTTAACATGATATTTATTATTTTCAGAAGGTAGAAAAATGGACAATGCAATGCTATGGTTAAGGTGAAAGAAAAAGGAAAAAGTATAACTACCAACATTGATAAACAAAGGCTCAATATCAGTCATAAAAAATGAGTCGAGCACCGTATAGACTGAAAGTCCAAATTGTATCAGCAATGTCAAAACATGTACCAGAAACAACCCAGCAGACAATGTGTCGGTAGAGAAGAGAATTTCAAACTCTTAATTTGCAATGAGCAAGGGACTGACGATGCTACACCAAAAGCTTAGACTAGTAACTCTTAAGACTACAAATTTGTACAACTGTTTTGAGTGATATAACATACTAAATTAATCACTTCCAAAAAATATCTAGTGACTGACAATATGTAAAAATTATATATTATAAATGACTACCCAAAACCAGGTTACCACAATCAAGTCAATAGTCAATATAAATAGCCCAGAGTCGTAGTTGGTATATATTAAGATGGTAATAATCTGCAATATTACTTTGATTATGTCCCATACCTGCTGCAACTGTATATCCCTTAATGATGGCCGGTTCAGACCAGGTGAAGTTCCTGAAGATGACCAAGGAGGTGTGCTCTTTTCACCGTCAGGTCCAGCAACTCCTTCTGCTGGGACTATAACTATTGGGCTTGATATGTTTGGCAGGAATGAACCTAATCGAACCTTTCCACTATTTGCAGGATCTGTTGGATCTTCACACCTACCTTTCGACCTCATAGGAATTATTTCTTTTGTTTTGCTCTGTTCGTTCTGAATATCACGAAGAGAAGTGTGTGTAAATTTAGCACCACCCCACGCTGGTCCCTCATTTTTCGGCATTGGTAGAGGGGCATGTCTGGGGGCATCATCAAGAGCACCACTCAGAAACATCGACAGGCCACCTTTCCTGTTCTTTTTCTTTGACGTGGTTAAATGGGAAGTCTTATTAGTATGGGATAAAGAAATTGCTTTCTCGTTTTTAGAAGAGGAATCTTCCATGGTTATGCTTCTAGTGATGGCATTGACATCCACAGCAGTGTTTTCCTGTTATACAGACAATTTGTCAGAAAAATAATTCAACATTATTAGAACTGAGGTATAAAATCTTAACATTCTAAAACACATATATAATGGTGCACTGTACAAAACATGGAACCCACCTATTACACTTAATTAAAAAATTGAGTATTTAACTAATAAATTAAAATTCAAAGTAACATTAAAATGTCTTTCTCCTATGATTTTGTTTGTAACAAGGTTCAAGCCACAATAAAAAAAAGATGCTAATAACTGACATGCAAGTCAATTCAGTCCAAGCAGTCTACGAGAACTCCTATATCTGGTGTATCAGGGACTGCATCATAGGGTCTACCAAAATCCTCCCACCTGTGATTGTGATTTCCAGACTGACAAATGGTCAAATCTAGGAGTGGAAACATCCAGCAACTATGACAATCAAAATCCAGCCCAAAATGGTGCAGTTAGATATATTCAGCAGATGCATATGCAACAAAAGGAGAACTACAGAGTATCCAAACTCTAAGCCTATACTTAACCATTAATCGTTTCCAAAACAACATATTTTAAGGTGCATGAAAGCTGATAGTTGGAGTTAACCCAGAGAGAAGAATCACAAAGCATATATGAAAAGAAAAGAGTTCATAGATGATAACTCTCTCTAAGAAATATCTAAAACAATATGGTCAATTATTTTAGTGGATTCCCCTTTCAGGTTCAACAGAATGTGCAATAAATAATACAAGAAACTAATAAGATTAATATAAAGGTAGAACACAAAGAATTCATAAGATTACCATATTTTCAGCAACTTCAAGAGTTTTGATATCTGGAAAACCCTTAACAGAATTCTGCTCCTCAAATATTTCACTATTTACAGATAAAACTTCAGATTGTGTTGCCTTCTGTTTAGGTTTCCTCCTTTGTTTCCTAGAAATTTCAGCCTTCTTATTCCCCTTTCCATCAGACAAGCCAGAAGACAATAGTGTAGATTCTGTTTCAAGGGGGAAGCCTAGCTCGTTAAGTGCACATTCGAGTGAAGACCTGGTTTGAATCTTTGCAATTTGTTGGTCATCAAGATGATGCCCATTCAACTGCTTAGCCTCAAGGATCTCTATTTGCTGCAATTTTTTTTTAAGAGCTCTGACTTGTTTGAAGACAGTTTGGTCAGTAATCATATCAGTTTGCACAAAACAGTCAACTCTGGAGCTCTCTTGCTTTGTGAGTACATTGTCAGAATTATCTCTAAGCCTAAAATGTCCTTTCTCAATGTCCTCCTCATCACTGTTAATGATGGCAGGGAAAGTAGCAGTTGGTGTGGGAAGGCGACGATAACTCCAGGGTTCCGAAGATCTTGCATCGAGAAGTTTCTCAAGCTTGGCCAGAACTTCAGGTGAGGCACTTGCAATTGCTGATGCCGAGACTGTGAAAATATAATCAAGATTGTGTATAGCTAATTCCTGCATGACTCCTAATTGTTAGGTTTCTCTGACAAAGTAAAGGAAAAAGTGATTCCTAGTTCAACTTTGGATGAGAAAATAAAAGAAAATACCTCACAGTGCTTTCTAAGATTATCAGCCTCTAGAGAATCAGCGATTTCCAATAGTTGAATAGCATTCCTTGGCTCCAACAGCAACTCTGCTGCAGCTTTCTCACATAGGCTTTTCAGGCTTGGTATATCCTTGCTACCAACATCATTTTTAATGGTCTTAGGGCTGGTATCAATTTCAATGTCACTGAAAGAATTATCATAATCTAATTCCTCCACTTCAGCATTGACATCTGATAATTGTTCAACAACAGAGACCTCTGATCTGAGAGGATAACTAGGATGATAAAGAGCACAAAGAGCCAGCAAATGAGTTTCACCAACACACACTGAAGTAGCTCGCTTAATGCCATGTAAGCGAGCAGGAATTGGAGTCCCATCCTTATATTTCTTCCCA